CAATACGTGAAACTAATGATCATCAACAACTGGATACAATTAATGAAGATATACAATGGGTTAATAATAATAATCAACAACAACAACAACAACTAAGACGTCTAAATGGTTTAAGACATCAAATTATACCTGACGATTCAATGGATATTATATCTGAATCTCATGAGGTAGACAATAGATTAAGACAAAATACTAATGCTTGTTTAACTTGCTTAAATTCTAATTCAATTAATCATGTGTGTTCTTGTTCTTGTTCATTATTATCAAACACATCAATACACTTATTGTTATCTTCCTCTTCCTCCTCATCCTCAGGTTCGACAACCACTGTTGCTGCTTGTCAACAACAAACAACAACAACAACAACAACAGTTGAAGTAGGACCCAACAGCTTTCCTAGTTATGATTATGCTCGATTCAGTCCTATTGCTGCTACTCGTTGCTAATTCTCTTGCTTTTTTTTTCTTTATGTATAACTTATTTGTGTATATCTAATCTTTGCTTGTAACTAATATAAAACTTATGGTATTCTAATTATATGATTATATTTATGCTTTCAGTCATCAATCAGTGGTACTACTACCGACAATGGAACATCGGGATCAACATTACTACATCAACAGTTCAATACGAGAAATACTCTCAGTCGAAATATGAACGAGTATTTGACAGTATTTGTATAAAGAAAAAAAAATCGAATTGAAATCAATATTGGCTTTTATTTTCAATAAGAATTCAGTTTTAGACGAATTATTTGTCTTTTTTTTTTCTTCAATTTTATTCTATTTACTTTTGATAAAACTGTTTGATAAATGATAGATCAGCAGATATACATATGACGGTTGACATATAAAGAATTATCCTGTTTGTATTATCGAAATTTCTTCTCTATAATACCTTTGATTAAAACACGCCTTTTTTTATCAGAAGATGGCATTTAAAATTCTACACAACATAGTATACTTTATTTAACGAATAATAGCTTTCTCTATTTTGCTGAATTAAACGTAATCGTACAGCCAAATGAAGTACAAAATTTAAATGTTTTTTTTTTAATTTTTCAACTTTTCTGACGGAAAGTTTTATTTTGTTTGCCAATGTTGCCTTTTTTGTTAATTCTATAAACTATAATCTAATGGACATAAATCAAGCGAACTTGGTGGTCAATGAATCTTTGGAATAAATTCAAGAAAATGATTAGCACAGCATTTTTGACTGAGATGATGGGTGTGACGTCTTGCATCATCTGGCTGATATGTTCAGTTGTTTCTTAACGTTTTGTTGCCGGAGTTTAGAGCCACTGGAAGAACGTTATTGATGCATTTTTCTTCATCGATCGTTCCCTCTTTCAAAATCATCAGCACTGTCAGTCCTTGCCCACATACATCTAACTATATCGTCACCTTTGTCGAGAATTTCGTCTTTTCATAACAGAACATTTCTTGTGTCTACTTCTGCCCTGTTCAGCCCACATCTAATCATTCTCAGCATTGTAGTTAGTTGATGGGTTGAGCTGGGTGAAGCTATTTATTGGAACCATGTAACAACAAACGCAACATGCGTAGACGAAAAGAAGTCTTCCGTAAGAAAAGTTGAAAAATGAAAAAACATTTAAATTTTCTACTTCATTTGGCTGTACGACTACATTTAATTAAGAGAAATGGGGAGGAAACTATCATTCGTTAAATAAATAAAGTATACCATTTCGTGTAGAATTTTAAGTGCCATCTTCTGATCAAAAGAAAAAGTGTTTTAATCAAAGATATAATAGAGGAGAAATTTCGAAAATACAAAACAGTGTAATTCTTTATACGTCACTTGTTATATATACATAACTAAAATATTGAAAAATTGATTGAAAATCATACAAATCTTTGTCTACTCATGTGAGAACAAACTTTCACATATATTCTTATAGAGAATTGGACTGAATATCTTTCTAAAAGATTCACAAATATATAATGAAAGATAAGAGAAATATTTACAGACTATTAAGACTACTGTTTAATCTGGAGCACCCGATGTTTGTATGTATCTGAAAGAAGATAGAAACGCGAACGGTTGCGCATTGCTATAGCAAGAGACAGAGAGTTAGAGAAACAGGCTAATAATTGATTGTAAGACTCAACATGGGCATTTTAGGATCATAATTGTTACAGTGTTCGGTTTCGTAATTTAATTAGAAACATATTTTAAATGTACAAACATCAAACATATACAGAGAAAAAGCACTGGTCGTTTCCGATAAAGTAGCCATTTATTAAAGACACTCTATTCTATGATGAAAAGACATATTCAACATATAGATGAATCTTTACATCGGTAAACTGAATGTGTAAATCTATAGGTCCATACTAATAGAGTTTGACTCTAGATAATTCTATGTGATCCTGAGTGACTACAGACAATTTCATATTCATTCCGATCCTCTGAGGTCAGCTTTTTCTTTCTTGGTTTTTCAACTGAACCATACTTAAGCAATAGACAAAAGCCCATTTGATGCTTCATACGAGTGCTCGGAAAACATAACGGTATTTAAAAATGTCGTCACAGAATGAATTCTGTTATCAACTGATTTGAATAGTGGACAAACTATACAATGCTGCTGTAGCAATCTCTGTCAGATAAAACGCCCAATGCATCTCTCCCACTCTCATACTCATAAAAGTGCCGCATCCATCTTATGTTTATTTATAAATCATGATTACTCTCACTAGCATCTTGATTTATAAGAAAGCATGTCTTCTCTTTATCCTCACTCTCATTCAGGTGATGCGCCGTTGTGCGTAATTCCGTAAGCGGCACACCCTCTTGAGTTTCAAAAGTTCTTAGGGTTTTGTAGGTAATGAGGGAACATTTCCAGTTAAGCTCTTGCTTTTGAGTTCAGTTATTTACCAATAAGAAAAGAGTTGTCTTTGAAGAATCGCAGTTTTCCAGTAAAATCAGACTTTTGAAATTTGACCTAAAACTTTGTCCAAATAAAGATCTCAATTAGACTAGCATATAAAAATAAATTTTACAACTTCTGAACATTGCATCTCGTGTGTACAAAATCTTTCAAAATTCTCATACTATTTACAATACCTACGAAAATGCACGTATGTGTTGCAAAAGTCATATCTCTGAAATGTGATGTTCAAAATTTAGAAATTGTTTATATCAGATAGTCTAATCAAGATTTTTATTTGGGCAAAGCCTAAGGTCAAAATTCAAAAAATGTTATTTTGCTGAAAAACTGGGATCTTGCAGGAAAAGTTCACTAAAACTTCGATATCCTCGTCAAATATTTCAATCAGATCATGTATCCTTTGGGAATTATTCTAAACTAATGATTCTCTACTTGTTGTTAAATAAATGAGCTGTTCAAAAACAGGTAATCATCTAGAAATGTTCCTTTGTAAGTAAAAATACGAAACATCTCACGATGCACGGTTGTTTTGCAATTACTCAACGAATTAAATTTAAGTTCAGAAAATTTTCAAGAGTTTTAAATTCACCAAAATCAGACGTTACTATCTTGGGAAGTACAATTCAGTGCTTGTTTCTATTCAAATAGAATTCGAACATGTACTCAAAACAATATTACAATTTCTTTTTACATAAGCAGCAGGAACGAAATTCGTCTCGCATAGAGAAATCGATTAATGCTTTTCGTTGTAAGAAACAAACATTTGAAGAAAAATTTCTCTGCATGTTTTTTGCATCTTTCATTAACAGAATAATATACATAAAAATATTTTTTTGCACTCATATTGGAACTGATTTCGACAATTGTTATGTTATTTGAAGATGAATTTTTGATTTCTCGTATATAATCAGAGTCAACTGATGATTTTTCTGATGTGTTGAGCAATAGAGTCTGCATAGCACATCATGCTTTGATATGTAAGGCAACGTATTTTGAGAGTTTCGTTACGTTCTTCATTGAAACAGAATTTTGTTTTTCGCGAATAAAAACAATAATACAAAGTTAATTTGATGAACACATGAAGTTATATGTTCTATCCAAGTCTTGCTCAACAATGACAAGTAGAAAAAGTTTCTTTTAATTTTATATGAAGTGATTTTTCTCTCAGAGTCAACAATGACAGCGAAACTTCAATTAAATCAAATTTGTGTTAGTTCTCTTGTCGAAACTCGATTCTGTATATTGATGTCGAATCTCTGATTATTACCATCATCGATTGACATCCCAAACAAACGTTCAGAGAACTCTGTTGGAACAAAGAGAACTCGTCAAGAAGACAAGAAAGATATAGTGTGGGATATAGAAGATATCTTATTGCAAATAGCTACATATGCAAATTTGTAGATTCCAGAAAAAGGAATTCCTTTTAGAACACTAACAGATCAATGCTTTATTTTTTTTTGTTTAGAACTCCTACAAGAAACAACCATATATTATCAACGACATTTCTCAACAAAAACATGACAACGAAAAGAAATTTTACGTCTAAGTGCATCGTCATGAGTGAATCATTGCTGGATACTTTTTTAATAAAACGACAAGAATTCATTTGCGATTGTCAATGTTTGACTTTGATGGCAGAGTCTCAGCCGACAATCAAATTTCGACGATGAATTTGCATTAATGGCAACACAAAAACTTCTAATTAATGATTATCTTTGGTGATGTGTCGGATGTCATTTTGTTTCACGACTTTGATAGCAAGATCTGTTGTGCTATCCGAAATCAATCAAGAAGAACATAGTTTGTTCTCTATCGCTTTGTGATATTTTTTGCACGGATTGACGAAAGTGCTCGAGCAATATTTAGTGAAGCCTTTTGAGCGGGTTAATAATTATGTCGTAATGGAAAAAAATATTTTTCTTTCTTTCCAAGTTTCAATCATAGAAAAAAGAACAAACATTCACGGAGAGCAGGGGCGAGAAATCAGACATACTGTTTCTTTTTCTTTTTTTCTTTTTTTTTTTCTTCTTCATTTGATTTCTTCACTCGACAACAACATGCAATAACAATAATGCAGACTTTTAGCTTAATGTTATTACTAATAGTTGTTGAACTTAGTTCTTCGACAACATATACATGTAGTTCAAGTTCTTCTTGTGGCTGTTCGACTAATTCAGCAACACTGACACGTATTGTTGGAGGCGAAGCAGCTGCTTCACAAACTTGGGGCTGGGCTGTATTACTACGCATCTCAAATTCGTTATGTGGTGGATCGATCATTTCGGCTTCATGGATTCTTACAGCTGCTCATTGTGTTTCGGGAGTTAATGCCAGTCTAATGACTGTTTACGCTGGTTCCAATAGATATGGGTTCAGCAGTCAGAGTAGATCAGTGTTAGCATCCACACCTCATCCGAGCTACAGTTCGTCCACTTATGTCAATGACATCGCTCTTCTTCAACTGTCGACTTCATTGAATATGGCTGATCCAGCTGTCAGTGCCATTTGTCTTCCATCTATCAGTTCTGCCATATTATCAGCTGGTGAATGGCCCCCGGCTGGAACAACAGTAAGTACTTAAGTCTATCTCAATGTGAAACTGTATGGAAATCTAGGTGGTGGCTGTGGGTTGGGGTCGATTGAGTGAAGGTGGATACGCATCATCGACACTTCAACAAGTGACCATGCAAACGGTTGATCGTCAATCATCAACATGTACTTCCGTGGCTAGATCTTGGTCATTTCAACTGTGCGCCGCTTCTACATGCAAAGGTAAATGCTATTCATCATTCTTGATCGATCCGAAATTAGATTTATTTCTCTCATTTATTTTAGATACATGTCAAGGGGATTCTGGTGGTCCTCTGATGGCTTTCACAACGAACAATCAGTGGGTTCTGGTCGGTGCAACAAGCAATGGCATTGGTTGCGCTCGAGAGAACTATGCTGGTGTTTACACACGTATAGCCGCTTATCAAGCTTGGATCCAGTCGATCACCAGTGGCCAATTCATCAGTTTGACATCATCAAGTTTGATGTCCCCAACAACAGAAATCGATCTAACAGCCACATGTGCAGCACCTGTCCACTATCGATCAGTTCTATTCTTTGCATTGATTCCTGCTCTTGTATTTCTTGGCATTATGGAGTCACTCCGTAATCAATTGACATGATTACTCTTCACAGAAATATTTCCCGGTGATCATTAGTTGTCTTTCTTTCTTGTTTGAATGATTCCATCAGTTTATATGTAAAGCTTATGAAAAATACAGTAATCAATATAAATCATTTGAAACTTTTTTGATTTTTTTTCAGATTTGCCGATGCTTACTCGATCATATTCTTTCCCAGTATTGATAAAGCGTTGTTCCTTATGAAAAATCTCCCTATCGATGGTTTTTTTCAGACTAGATTGGTTTGATGTCTCATTGGTACGTCTCACAAGACAACCATTTTTAGGTGTTCATTGTGATTCAGGAATTTCGGCTGGACAACAACGTTGAAAATTACTCACAAAATACAGGCATCGAGTCTTTGAGCAAAACATTATTCTTGTAGATTTCTTTGCTAGTCTCAAAAACATATTCATATATGTGTTATCGATCAATAGTAAATGAATTCTTTCGCAGATACGCAGTTTCGTTGTTCATTGCTCTTCTTTTACTTCTCTACGCAAGTGGTTGGAAAAGTATTTGAATCGTCACAGATTTGAGTAACTTGCGCGTCCTTGAAATATTGATGGTAACTGTATCTGAAATAGTCATCGTCTATGATTTAGTAAATTTTGCCATTGAGATCTTTATGTATAAACATTCATTTCAATAATACCAAGTGATATAATCGCAGTTCTTTGTATACAATTAAAGAAAGTTGATTGAAGCTATTGATGATCAGTTGTTTGTTCTTTTAAGTATACATGCCAGTGATAAACTGGCATATTTACAATTGGCGACTCGGTGTGACAAAATCATCAAGACAAAAATAGTCAAAATGTAAGAGAAGTAGATGGATGTGACAGTGAGAAGAATACTCTATTATCTGACACATCCTTTCCCTTCCCTCCGATTCTCTATAGACTTGCGTATCACAGATATCAATAAGCACATTACGATTAAGCTCGTGTAATAATGCTTGATAACGAGTGATATAATAAAATGGTTCCAAAACTAACGACATTCCCAATTCGATACTTGCTTCACAATTGCTAACGCACAGTTTCACATTGCTCGCGCCGATACAATTACACACTGAACGAACGTGTCGAACTCATTGATGGATATCCATCGTTTACTCATCCATCCAATCTGATTTGTCATACTTGATATTTTTTATTTAGTTATATCGACGTAGATCATTTTACCTGAAAAAATGTTTGAATCGACAGCAACAAGCATCATTTCTCTGCCATGCTGATATTCGAAGTTTTAAAATTTCTATTATACATACTCTATCACCAATATATTAAGAAGATAAGCATTCTTATAGATCAAGATATCTTAGAATACGTGGATTAGAAGCTAGTTCTCTCTGTCAGAGTGTCAGCAGCAGCGTCGCTGAATAAATTTTGGAAAGTGCTCGATAGCGGAGATCTAATTTGTATAATCAATATCAATCGTATTGTCAAAATCTAAGATTCTCATCTTATTTAAGATTGAATGCTACATTTCGCTACATCAAATTGACTAATGTGCTTTTAATAAATAGTTAATATTGAATAACTAATGCCTGTTAAAAAACACAATAGTCGTAGGTATTTTTACAATAACTCAAGTACGAACAGAGCTGCAGAGTTGCAGTTTTCATCAATCGAAAGAGAAAATATCGAGATGACTTTTTCTCCAATATTAGATAAGACATAAGACGAAATCATTATAAAATCAACCATTTTTACAAAACATGGAAAAAATATACAAAAACGATCGGTCGTTCAGATCAAATTTTGACAAAAATTAAGAAAAATTCATGTTTTTCGAGGGTCTAAATAGACAGTTGTATTAACTTAACATTAGGATGTGTGAAGATAACCATTCGAATTACATCTTCAACTATAGATCTGAAGTCCCTCTATCTAAATCACATATTAAAAACAAAACTTCATCTGAATAACAGACTTTTTTCATGCATTTTTTCCAATGTTTTGTGGAAATGATTAATTTTAAAATGATTTCGTCTTACATAACGTTGGAGAAAAAGACGTCCCAATGTCTCCTCTTTCGATTGATGAAAATCGCAGCTTTGCAGTTCTGTCCGTTCTTGAGTTATTGCAAAAATATCCACGACCATTATTTTTTTTAACAGGCATTAGACTGTTGGTCTGCATTATAAAAGAACAATTATACATTTTGTGAACGACAATAATAATAATTCGAAATACTCATTTATGTACTCGAATAGTATTTATGACAATCAATCCCTAAGAACTCGAGCTATCTGAGTATATCATATAAAAATGCGTTGCATCTCTCAGAGACTGATATATTACAGATTTTGATCTATGAAATTAATAAACAAAATCTTGCTTATTCAAAGAAATAAAATAATCAAGCAAATAGAGATTATATCTACGGTAAGGAAATAACCTACGTTAACATTCAATGCTATAGCAACTGATCGATGGTGACCAAAGACCGATAATTCGAGTATCAAATAACATTTTGACAAATTGTGTTGGTAATCTAATGCCTATCTGTTCTAACCATATTAACTATGAGAAATTTCACAAATGATCATTCCATTTATTTTCAGTTTGATCTAGATAAATTTCGATAGTTGGCCAAATTTTGAGTGATTATTTGACTAGTGAGATTCTTTTGATAATGTCGGATCCACCGAAATGTAATCGTATCATCGATTTACTTTTGGATATATTGTAGTACTATACATGAGTTAGACATATCTTAAAAGTTCCAGCTCCTTCGAATAGATTTGCCGAAATAGAGTTTTTCTGATAAAGTTAACATTCCTTTCCATTTTTTCCAGCAATTATTGTTGGTAATTTCTGGCAGCAAATTGATTCGTTCATGTGAATCTTCAAAGATATCAAAGTGTGGCACATTTTCAAAAATGACAGCCATGTTTTTTTACTATAAAAATACAGAAAAGTACACGTCCTATAACAAAAACGAACAAAATGTCAATGAAACGCATTTATGACAACAAAAGATCTTATGGATCGAATTTCTATCAATTCGAAGATGTCAAAACTATAAACATGATGAACATGAAAAGCGATTATATTGAAGCTACTTTATATATTTATTGAATCCGTAACTGAATTATCAATGTCATTCATGCGAAAAATTATAATTGATGTTGTAAAACTTTGATGAGAAACTGATTTGAGAGAAGATAGCATAGAAACTTCTTCGTATAATTGGCAGAGAATACTTACACATGTCGGTCAGTGAGTGTCTCGAAACTGAAGTAATTAGATCTATTGTTTCTATAAACGTAAATCGGTTTTTGTTGTGTCATGCATAAGAGGATTATCCTGTCGTTGAAATCCTCTTAGAAAACATACAATTTAGAAAACATTAATTTGAACCAGTCGATTTCGGATACGAGATCAATCA